GACAGTGACAGTGACGGCAACGCCAGCCACGACAGACGCAGGTGATGGCAATATGTACAGACACATCTGTACATATTTACTGTACTGTTTGAGAACAGTAAGTGACATGGTTTTTCTTAAATGGTCATCATGGGAGCAGTGCCCAAAATAAGTTTTTTTCAAATTTTGATGCAATATTACATAATGTTAAACAGCTTAATGACCATCAATTTTTAATAATAAAATATTAGTATCATGGATATTCAGAAAATGTGACTAGCAAAGGTCTTCAGGCCCATGGAACTTCAAAGTCACAACTTGAAAATGCCAAAATGTAAACAAGACAGCACTGTTCTGAAATGTTTTTTTTCCATTTTTAACAATTTTTTTAACATAAACAAAATTAACAGGTTACTGCCATTTTTATACGATCAACTAAGAAAATTGATGAGATGGGAAAAATATCAATACAACAGTGTTAAATGTCCAATTTCCTCCATCCTGAGATTCTGAACATAGTGAATGATTGCATCTGACAAACTGCAATGATATGAGTTTATTTCCATTTTTGACACTTTATTACACAATACACGATAACAAGTTTACCATCATTTTTACATAATCAACTAACAATTTTGTAAAGATTCAGGAAATGTCAAACAAACACTTTTATGTATCTTATTAGTAAAATAATAAGACTGTTAACATGCCTAAGAATTGAATCTGAGGAAATGTGAAAAAACAGCATAACTTCTAAAGTAATGGCCCGATCATGCCGATTTTCGAACTTGACCTGCGTTTTAGTAAGATTGATTACTCCTGTGAGTTTCATGACAACAGGCCTAACGGTGTTCCTTAAAATGTGTTTACAGGGTTGCATATATGCTGAAAAGTGAAAAAACAGCATAAGTTCTACAATAATGGCCCGATCATGCTGATTTTCGAACTTGACCTGCGTTTTATGAATATTCATCAGCTCTGTAAATATAAAGCCAAAAAGTAAAACTGTCCTCCACTTATCGTGTTTACAAGGAAAGTGCACGGCATCGGCGACGGCATCGGCATCGGCATCGGCATCGGCATCGGCGACGGCATCGGCGACGACAGACGCAGGTGATGGCAATATGTACAGACACATCTGTGTCTGTACATAAAAAGACCTTAACTTATTATCAGTTTACCCCTTCTCATATAAAGTTTTATTTTAAAAGACTCCTACTCCGCCAAAAATAGACTCAGTACCCGGTAGGAGGACCTGATCACGGAAAGTTTGAGTCACGTCACACAGGCCCCACTACATGGGTCTCAGCCCACCAATCTGGGTGCAACCAGCACGCACCTCAGTGGCTCGCGCAGTATGTTACCTTTTGGCACAGTGTTTTCAACCTGTTCAGGAACGTGAACAGTATTTTTCTTAGTCAAAAGTCCGCTTTTCTAATTTACAGAACCAGAGTTAGTAGATCTAAACCCTGGTCCACTTTGGCTGGTTTGTGCTGGTCAAACTTGAACTAGAGTAACATTTGTGCTGCTTATAAGACGGGAAAGTTAGCTGCAGAACAATGCGCCAAGTCTGTACGAGATAATATGCGTGCAATTTAAAATCTCATTTTAGAAACAGAAGTCGTGAAGGAAGTTTAAGGCGCAAAGGCTTACTTACTCATTTGTAAATTCATTCACTTGTTCATGCACCTTTCATGGTACATAAGAAAATTATTTCCAAGGAAAATTCCACATCGGGGAAAATCCCAGATAAGATGCCTTTAATATTATGGGCAGGGTTTGGTCAACTTCAGGTTTAAACTTGGAAAAAACTTTTTTAGGCAGGTCCTCTGTAGCCACCCTGAGCTTCAGAGCTAACTTGACACTAACCTCTTCACTGTAGCCTATCTTCATCGTGTCAAGTAACTTGACACGATGAAGATAGGCTACAGTGAAGAGCTTAGTGTCAAGTTAGCTCTGAAGCTCAGGGTGTCTGTAGCCCATGTTTGAAAAATAACATCAGGTGTGAATTTTAAATGTTTTGATTTTGTGTTGGTATACGTAAAATTATTTTATTAAAGAATGTTATCCCCACCCATGTCAATTTACTTTGTGTGTTTTCAGTAACATAACTTTTTTAGACAATTTTTTCTTGTTTCTGAAAAAGAAATGACAATCATGGGCTTGGAAAATTTTTATCAAAAAATATTTTATTTCCAACTGTTTTTTATTAAAAGGCTAGTTGTCCAACTTGTCCAGCAAAGCAATCTCAGATATAAAGTCTATTAAAAAAACTGTTAATTGGCACGTATCTGAAATAATCCTGTGCTGCTGTAACACTGTCATTGAAGAACCACATTAATGCTACATGCACCCAGGAAACCTATACTATCACATGGAAAAAAATAATGTATCATTTAAACTGACTACGTTTACAATTAATATATGGTATACTATAGTAAACTACCCTCTAAGCATGCTAAGATTACTTATTTTAAAATATTTCAATAATACTTTTTAAACTCTGCAGAAGGTACATAATTATCATATAAAATATACTGTAAAATCTTATCATTTTACTTAAGTATATTATATAGCAGCATACCAGTACATAAAGATAACATAAGCTATATAAATGGAATTATACATCTATTTTTGCATTCTGCATCTACTTTTGGACTGAGCTGAGGTCATTTAATCCTGTAAAAGGCCATAACAGACATACTAGAACCTAGCAATTTCACCCCAAATTTAATAGGCATTAAAAAGCCTTGCCACAACTCGCTTAAGTGTGGAGTTCACCGGGCTGTCATTCACATCATCCCTGCCACTGGAATTGTCAAATCATACAAATAGTATGATTCTGCCCATTACTGGTTACATAAACCATCCAACCATGGCATCCACCATATCCTCATCCATAATGTATTGGTAATCACTGTCCTGAGAAGAAGTGTCTTCCCCAGAGCCAGATGTACCTAATAGCTCTCTCCAAGCTGGGTAGTTCTGGTGTACCTAATAGCTCTCTCCAAGCTGGGTAGTTCTGATGTACAACAACTGGGCTGTGCATTCCACCATCCAATGTGACTCTTCCACCATCCTGAAATGTCAAGATAAAACGCATATTCATAATAACTAGAGGATCAGAGCAATGATGTCGCCATTCTGTTTTTTGACCACCAGCATGATTATGTGAATTCAAGTTGATTGGCAACCATAGAAAAATCTCTCCTAGATTAGGAAATGTAAGGGCAAGAAAATTTGGAAAGTGCATTTTATGGTAGAAAGTATGCCAAAGGTCTAATTCGGGGTCATGCTTAAATTCCCTATATTTGACTTCCTATTCAAATTCAACAATAACTATGGGTGTATCTCATCTAGCTTTGGCAATATAAGGGTTTAAAAATAAAAAAGTGCCTTTTAGGTGAAAAGTAGGTCAAAGATCAAATTTGGATCACATGTGAATTCCCATTATATTTCCTATTCAAGATCAATAAGACCTATGATCATTTTTCTACTAGGAGATATGAGGGCTAGAAAATTTGCAGTGCATTTCCTGATGAGAAATAGGTCAAATGTTAAATTCAATGTTAAATGAAGATTGCCAATATATGATCTCCTATTGAAGAGTTCAATAGTAACTATGGGTTCATCTATTTTAATTTTGGACAAGGGCTAGAAAATTGCAAAGTGTATCTCATGGTAAAAAATAGGTTAATGGTCAAATTCAAGGACACATTATGCTTTGCAATACATTGTTTTGTATTCAAGTTCACTAGTAACTAACAACATTTTTCTGCCAGTTTTAGAGGTATAAGGGCTAAAAAGTTGCAAAGTGTACGTAATAGTGTAAAGTATATGGTGAATACATCTGTACTCACTATCTTTACAGTCCTTCTGACTAGTGTAGCAGCATTTGGTTTAAAGACTTGGTCTGTGTACATGCACTTGATTGATGCACCATCCTTTTCTAGTGATTTACTGGAAACTGGGTACTCAAACTGCTCCTAAAAATGAGACATTTTTGTAACAACAACAAACTTTTAATAAAGTTGGGCAAAAACTAAACGGATGTCAAATTCAACCAAAAAATTATTGTACACAATTTTGGACAACTCACCACTGAAAGACAAAGAAATAAGAGACAACTTACTCCTAGATGTCTGAGCACATGTTTCATCAAAATTTCATTCATCTGAAGTCGCTTCTTAGCCCTTGTAACTGCCACATACAGAATATTGCATTCATCTTCTTTGTGTTCCACTAGAATTAAATCATTTTATTTCATAAAACTTTTTTTTTTGTTAATATCAAAATTGAAGTGGAGATGATACAGATGAATATAACAAGTAATGGCAAATGCATTATGAAGTGATTTAAATGAATTGTAATGATAATTTTGCACAAATTAATTATCAAACACATTTTAATTAAATACTTATAAGAAGCAGATCTCAAGCTTTACCAGTGGTGCACAAGTATTGAAAGAAATGCTCACCTGTTTGACCATCTGAATTAATAAGGAAATCATCTGTCAGCTGCACAGTGCTGAACTCCAAACCTTTTGACTTGTGAGCAGTGCTGAAAACCACATCTGGCAAAAAAAAAGAAATGAAGTCATAAAACAAGGCAGCAAAGCTGTCAAATGTACAGACAAAAAGCA